TTTTTAATAAATGTATGGAAGAGGGTAAGGTACCTGGGGATTGGCAGAGAGCATGCATAGTTCCTATGTATAAAGGCAAGGTGACAAGAGAGAGTGCAAAAATTATAGGGGGATAAGTCTGTTTCAGTGGAGAGGAATAAGTGGGATTAGGTCAGGGGTTTCAAATAGAGTTAGAGCTACAGAAGGAGTAGCAATAATGTTAAAGGATAAGGTACGGCAGGAAAAAAGGGACTATAAATGTATTAATTCAAGGATTATGTGGAGTAAAATAAAGGTTGGATGTGAAAAGTGGGTTATAGTAAGTGTATATGTACCTGGAGAAGAGAGAAGTGTAGAGGAGAGAGAGAGATTTTGGGAAATGTTGAGTGAATGTGTGGGGAGTTTTGAACCAAGTGTGAGAGTACTTGTGGTTGGGGATTTCAATGCTTAAGTGGGTAAAAATGTTGTGGAGGGAGTAGAAAGGTAAATTTGAGGTGCCAGGAGTAAATGAAAATGGGGAGCTTTTAATTCAGCTATGTGTAGAAAGAGGTTTGGTAATAAGTAATACATATTTTATGAAAAAGAGGATAAATATAAAAGGTATGATATAGCACATAATGAAAGTAGTTTATTAGATTATGTTTTGGGTGGATAAAGGTTGATGGGTAGGCTCCAGGATATACACGTTTATAGAGGGGCAACTGATGTATCGATCATTATTTAGTTGCAGCTACAGTTCAAATTCAAATTCAAACTTTATTCTCTATAAGTATTACAATGCTGAGTTTACAGAATTTGGTTATTGTGTGGTTTACATATAGTAAAATAATAATTACAGAGTGTACCACTAGAACGCCTAGCATGGCTAGGCATTTCGGGCAGACTTATATTAAATCTTAGGTTTAAAATGTTACAGAATTATGAGATAAGTTGGTATTATGGCTAAGTGACTAAATACTAGTTGTGAGTTTAGCAATGTGAATGCTTTTGTTTTGGCACTATACATAGTTTCAGTATTGGAGTATCACAGGCCAACTTTTGACTATTTTAAGATTCATTATTTTGAGATTGAGATTGATTTTTCTGTTTATGGTCAAAGGGGTGAGGAGTGTAAGTGTGAACCACCAGGTGGTATTCGTATTATTAGTTGACAGGGTGTATCAGGGAGATAAGATGTTTTCTGATGGTAGTTTTAAAGGGTGATGAATGTGTCTGCAGTTTTGGAATTTTCAGTAGGGTGTTCCAATTTTTAGGCCTTTGCCCATACATTGAATTTTTGTAAAGGTTTAGTTGGACACGGGGAAATTTGTCATAGAGATGTTTGTGTCAGGTGTGTGCCTGTGGTTCTGTCACAACTATCAAAAGCATTTTAGTCAAGTTAATATTAAATTAAGGGTCCTGTAGATGTAGATTGCACAGTAGTAAGTGGGGGATGTACTGAACAGGGAGTAAGTTTAGATCTTTTTAAGAGTGGGGGGTGTGTTGCCAGGGATGGATTTAGTGATTATTCTTACTGCGGCTTTTTTTTGGGGTTTTATTATTGGTTTTAGGTGTGTTGCTGCAGTTGAACCCCAAGCACAGATAGCATAGGTGGGGTTTATGGATATATAAGTGAATGGTATAGTGTGAGAAGGGCAGTTTGCGGCACGTGTATCGTATCTTGGAGAGGATCCAAAACCGTTTTGGATACTTTTTTGGTTATGTGTTGGATATGGGTGCTGAAGTTTCAAGTTGTTGTCGAGGTATAGGCCTAGGAATTTGCCCTCATTATGCCTGGTAATTAGAGTGTTGTCGATCTTAATGTTATTTTGCGCAAACTCCTGCCTGCTACCAAACATAATGTAGTAGGTTTTGTCAACGTTAAGCGTAAGTTTATTGGCTGTGTTACGGTTTGGTTTGTCCCCTTATTTACTTTGATTGTAAAGGGTTTTCACTACATGTTCTAGTGTGGGGTAGCTTTTACTTAATGGCCTTATTTGTCTAGGGTAATACTTACATCATGGCTGATCATCTTGAGTGTCTCTGATACCTTTTCACCAGCCCCCTTCACAGGTTATGTAAACTACTACTATAAAAATATAACTGTATTCTCAATAGATATGTACAGAAATTACAATCACAGCCTCCATTTTCAAAACAAATCTACAACACTCCATTTCCCGTGCTCCACATGTGTGTTCCAACACTCTTCCTTCTCTCTCCTTGACATAACTCTGGGCTAACCAGTGTTTTGACACACTTAGTCACCCTGGGTATGGTGGCCAAAAATTAAATTATAAAAACTCACCCCTGGAGCACACATGAAAGCCCCAAAAGATAGGAGAAGGACCCAGAGATCCTGCCAGGTTGAGGTCAGCCACAAAGGAGAGAGAGAGATCAGAGAGAGGGAAGAGAGAGATGCCTACCTAAGCTCCTCCCACAAAACAAAAGACTGTTGCCCAAACACACTTCTCCCGTTACCACAATTCTACCACACCTTAATTTTACTTTTACAAAAGGAAATACAACTTTAAAAAACTACTTATTTAAATTGTGTGTTTGTGTCTATAGTATAACCTATTATATTGAGAAAAATAGGTTTTACCCAGCTGCCTCTCAGTCATAAGGTTGATCAGTCCTTCTGACATTTAGAGCAAAGTCCCCATCAATTCAATATAATTAGGTATTCCAGAGTAACTGTTACTTATAAATACATGTTAGGTCTATACCCCTAACACCCCCACCTCAG